TCAGGGATAGAAGTACTGCCTTTGCACAGTCACCAACCCGTCTTCATCTACTTCTCCTGCTTCTGCCAAGGTCTTGCTTTCCTCGAACTCACCTTCCTGATCCGCCAGGCGTGCCAAGTCCTCACCAAGCTTCACGTCGCTACCGTTTTGTGTCAGCTTTCTCTTGGGGGCTCCTCGCTTCTTGCCGCCTTGCCTTTGTTGGTTGTAACGCTTGGCAAGTGTCTTGAGGTTCAGCGTCCGAGAGGACTCGAGACCCATGCTTTTCACACGCGACCGGTGTCGTACTCCTCAGGCTGTCATCCGGGGCCAAAGCGACGACGTCTCCCAGGGCTTTCTTCGCCGGAACATGCGGCAGGTAAGTGGACTCGGAGAGGAATAGAGAGGAACCGCCCATCCGCAGCGAGCTTTTCGAGGATGTCTCCTGCATCCCTCCGGCTGAAGCTGAAAGAAACGCATCCTTTGACTGCTCGCATTTGGGCCGCAGTGAAGATGTCCTTGCGTTCTTGCAGAAGCCACTCCTTGATTTCCTTCACGTTCTGATTTTGCTCGCGCGCACGCGCTTCCTTCGCACGTTGCACCTTATTCACGGGCGGCGGTGGCTCTGAAGCTTGCAAAACCTTCTCCAAGGGATCTACAGTACCTGTTTCCTCCACGGCTAGAGCACAGCTCGCGCGGACAGCAAGACACGTCAGGCCTCCCTGGACGGCATCATTTTCCAGAGTCTCTCGGCAGGCAGCGGCAGTGTTGTGTCGTGAAGTTGCACACAGACCGGAGCATCACCACACAAGCCGGATTGTCTCGCAAGGCGTCCTTGAGAGTTGGGTCCCTTGCAAAAACGCCCCTCTCCGCTGCTGACTCTTCTCGGCCAAGAATTCGGGCTTGGCTCAACAAAGGTAGCCTTGTAACGGCACGCGACGGTCCTGCGGAAATGGATGGCAGGTTCCGTCACGCTGACGAACTTCCAGGGACGAGGAACCAGGGAAGGAACAAAAGACATGAAGCTGAAAAGAGTGCCAGAGAGGCAGAGAAACACACAGAGATGGAAAGCCGGTTTGACGAGAAGCCTGGGATACGCATTCATCTCGAAACGCTTCCATCCACGCAGTGCCACGAGGGCTGCGTCAACGGCGTACGGAAGTCGTTCTGGCACCTTGTCTGCGGAGATGTGCTTTTTGTAAATGTCTTCTCGCATGGACTTGCGAGCTCCTTGCACAGTCTCCTGCCCGGCGACGACGATCTTGCCGAGAAGACGAGCGGCTTGCTTGTGCATTTCCTGCCAATCGTTCGACAACGAGTATCGGACTACTGCTGACACATGCCTCTCACGAAACCTCAAGACCTCTTCTTCATGAGATTAGGAGAACGTGCCTTGCCTCGTCGATCTTCATTGCCCAGCTGCTTCCAAGTGCAAGTGTGCCGTCTGTAGACTCTGCCCGACACCTCCAGATCCCACTCCCCAGAATGCGCGGTCAACATTCTCCCCACACAGGGCCAACGTCAAGGAAGCCACGCAGACTTGGAAGGCGTCGGTGTTGTTCCAATATGTCGTATTCCAGACCTTTGCGACCCTGTCCTTGATCTCTGACGAAACCGGGTCTAAGATTCGGCAGGAGAACGTAAAGACTGGTGTCAGGCGACTTCGGACCCGCCACCAGACCGCCAGCGTCCTGGGAAGTGAAGCAGCCATCTGTCGTGCAAAAGCCACCTCGGCTGCGAAAGTCCCTGGAACACCACGCCACATGATACTTTATGTCACAGTCAAACGCATGCGCTCCTGAAAGTCGTCTCGTCGCCAAGACATGAGATGATCCATGCAATCGGACAGAAGCGGAACTTGAATGACCAGAGCAAAAACATCATTGTCTGGATGGAGACAGACGACCCGCAGATCCGTGACCGTCACCGCGTAGTATGTCCGGAGGGGTTTAGAACACTGGCAGCCCGCGGGCTCTTGAATTGGGCACTTCACCATTGGGCACTGGCCTTACGACGCATGTCTTTGGAGGTTCATGGGAAATTAAGGTTTGGGGTTTGGGGTTTAAGGTTTAGGGTTTAGGGTTTAGGGTGTAGGGTTTAGGGTTTAGGGCATACAGGGTTGTTGGTACCCTATAACTCTATAGACCCTAAACCCTCAACCCCAAACCCCGGCCAAGCTGCATCCGCCTGTGGAGAGAAGATACATGTTGACTGCGACCTGCATATCGAGGCTGTTAGGGGTTTAGGGTTTAGGGTTTAGGGCTAGGGTTTAGGGTTGAGGGTTCGAGAAAGACACGAGGCGGGTGCCATGTGGGATTGGTCTTGCAGTCAGCAATAAGGGTTTTAGGAGCTTGGGGGTGGAAGGTTCTTTTATGTGGGAGTTCCAGCGATCAGAGGCTGAGAGCGTGCAGGTTCGTATTGACTCCGTTCCATACTGACGGTGGCCATACATCTAGGTACAACCCAGAATCACAGGGCTTCTTGAGGTGAATATGATGAGTACTGAACGGGTCTAGATAGTAGAGAATAGCCCTGAAAAGAAAAAACACCACAACCACCACCACCACCAGCATCGCTACCATCACTACCATCACAATCACGACCATCATGACACTCGCCATCAGTCACAGTTGCAATCGCCATCACTGGCCTTCATGGCTGGCTGTCATCAACCCCTAAACCCTGCACCTTAAATCCCAACCCTACAAACCCTAAATCCCAACCCTACACCCTAAACCCTAACTCTAAACCGTAAACCCCTACACACCACCACCCTCTGCAATCGACTTTCAATTCCGGGTGCGTGCTTCAGAACGGGCCCCGGGCCTTCATTCAAGCTTCATTCAAGCACCCACATCCCTGAACCCCTTACTTAAGGATTTCCCGGGGCCGATCACCCGAAACACCTAAAGCCCCTAAAGGGTATAGGGTTTAGGGTTTAGGGTTTAGGGCCCCCAAAGCCCCTAAAGCCCTATATAACTCCCCCCCCCATAACCTTAAACCCTAAACCCCACATAGCCCACAACATTTAACCACCCCCACCCCCGCACCAAGAAAAAACGATAAAAAAAGGACTCGAATACTTGGACTAGTTAATGAACCTATTTATTTAATTAATTAATGAATGAATTAACTAATTCAAAAATGTTATGAATAACAATAGCAAAAAGCACGTCTAACCCCGAAGTTCAGCGTTGATTGCTACCTGCTCCGGGATAAAGATCTTGTCCGAAACAAGGACGAAACGCTCCGAAAGCGCCTCTCCAGGGCACCATAAGCAGCGCTTCTAGGCGTATAGGGTTTAGGGTTTTAGGGTTTTAGGGTTTTAGGGTTTTAGGGTTTTAGGGTTTTAGGGTTTTAGGGTTTTAGGGTTTTAGGGTTTTAGGGTTTTAGGGTTTTAGGGTTTTAGGGTTTTAGGGTTTTAGGGTTTTAGGTTTTTAGGGTTTTAGGGTTTTAGGGTTTTAGGGTTTTAGGGTTTTAGGGTTTTAGGGTTTTAGGGTTTTAGGGTTTTAGGGTTTTAGGGTTTTAGGGTTTAGGGTTTAGGGTTTAGGGTTTAGGGTTTAGGGTTTAGGGTTTAGGGCTTGAAGGGCTTTCCAAAGCACACACAAGGCGCTGCGGAAGCTCCACTTCCCAACAGGGGCTCGAGCTCATGATCGTCGGGCCTCCCTCTTGAAGACTTCACGGCCCCAATCCTGAAACCCTAAACCCTAAACCCTGAACCCTAAACCCTAAACCCCTAAACCCTAAACCCTAAACCCTAAACCCTAAACCCTAAACCCTAAACCCCTAAACCCTAAACCCCTAAACCCCTAAACCCTAAACCCTAAACCCCAAAACCCTGAACTCCAGACCCCGAACCCTTGCCTTGTTGCACAGGTCCATCCTCAGCTGCCAAAAAACTCTACTTGGAGGTTCATGGTACTTATTGACCAACTATAACTGTACTTTAGGGTTTAGGGCTTAGGGCTTAGGGCTTAGGGCTTAGGGCTTAGGGCTTAGGGTTTCGGGTTTAGGGTTTAGGGTTTAGGGTTTAGGGTTTAGGGTTTAGGGTTTAGGGTTTAGGGGTACTTAGTAACCAATTACATCTGTACTTAAAACCCACGTATAAGCCCCTCAAGTGCCCTAATATGGTATAATAAGTACAGGAAAAAGTACAGTTATAATTGGTGAATAAGTACCATGAACCTCCAAGTAGGGGTTTTACCTGGGGCCCTTCAGGTTGTACCCTTGGGTTTCGGGGACCCTGTTTAACGATCCTTAAGGTACCCTAAACCCGAAACCCGAAACCCGAAACCCGAAACCCTAAACCCTAACCCTAAACCCTAAGCCCTAAACCCTAAACCCTAAACCCTAAACCCTAAACCCTAAACCCTAAACCCTAAACCCTAAACCCTAACCGCTAAACCCTAAACCCGAAGCAGAAGGGCCAGAGTAGGAGCATATGAAGGGGAACCCTTGGGGGTACAACCTTAGGGGTACGAGTCTTAATCCTTATAACCCGAGTAGAGCACTTAAGGGGCTTATAAGTGGGCTTTAAGTACAGATATAATTGGTTACTAGTACCCCTAAACCCTAAACCCTAAACCCTAAACCCTAAACCCTAAACCCTAAACCCTGGCATCTGAAATGCAAGGCTCTATGGGAGCGGGAGGGGTGGGTGGGTTCAGAGGCTTCGGGGTTGAGAGTTGAGGGCTTAGCTTAGGAAGCCTGATCGGTTCCTAGACCCTCTTGAAGAAGAGGGATACGGGCGCTTCGGGTCTTGGGTTTGGGGTTTCTTTCCGGTTAAGGCTGTAGGCTTCAGTGTGTAGGGTTCAGGGCATAGGGTTTATGGCTGAAATACTTAGTTGCTGAGTTCATAAGACCCCAAAAGAGTGTACACTTTCAGTACTATAGGGGGTTATAGTATCCTGGTTTAGGGATTAGGGTTTAGGGTTTAGGGTTTAAGGTTTAGGGTTTTGGGTTTAGGGTTTAGGGTGTAAAGTGTGCTCATTCAGCTACTTAGAACCTGCGGCTCACCGCAATCGAGCCCTCAACCCTGCTGGGACAAGGAGAAGCGTCTCCATAGGAGGATCCCGCCGGCCCATCTCATCGAAGAAGCCATGATGCCTTGCAGGTGTCTAGGGTTTAGGGTTTCGGGTTTAGGGTTAGGGTTTAGGGTAGAGGTGGAGGGGGCTCGGAGATTAGGGTGTAGTCTTGGAACCCTAACCCTGAACCCTGAACCCTGAACCCTGAACCCTGAACCCTGAACCCTAAACCCTAAACCCTAAACCCTAAATTAAAAACCCTAAACCCTAAACCCTCTATCCTAAGCCCACAGGTGTGCCCCAAAGGTTCAGGGCTCAGGGATGCTTAGGATACAGACTTCCCCGGATGGTCCCCTAAGCCCTAAACCCTAAACCCTAAACCCTAAAGCCTAAACCCAACAAGGGCATCTTTGGGCTGTAAACGTACTTCCCGCATTTCTTTTCGCGCACACTTTAGGGTGTAGGCGTAGGTTTTAGGGTTTAGGGTTGAGGTTTAGGGTTTAGGGTTTGGGGTTTAGGGTTTGGGGTTTAGGGTTTAGGGTTGCACGTGGGTCCTTTTAGGTTCATGGCCGTGGCAAGCCTCTTCGGCTGCTCGGCCGGCGGCGGGACTGATTTGGGGTTGTAGAGCTTTATATAAACCCTAAACCCTAAAACCCTACAAACTCTATAAACCCTGTAATCCCAAAAACCCCAAAAGCCCTATATACCCTACAAACCCTAAGTATGAACCCTATAAACCCTGTAAACCCTAAACCCTGGGTGTAGGACTGAGGGCTTCATGCGGCCTGTGGGCTAAGCAAGGTGTCTAGGGTTCGAAAGCGCCATGATTCACTGTGACTTCTACAACCTACGATGGAGGAGAGCCATCCCGCGCAACCCTCCCTGTACAAGCCCTACGACCCAAACCCGAAAAACACCCATTTTAGAGGGGCCTTGCTGCGTAATTAGCATAGGTTTTTTTTTTTTTTTTTTTTTTTTGGGGGGGGGGGTGATTGTCGCATAATTATGTAGGGACGGTTTAGGGTTTAGGGTTTAGGGTTTAGGGTTTAGGGTTTAGGGTTTAGGGTTTAGGGTTTGGGACTATAAGGGAATGCTCTCATTCCGACCCCTGTATCAGGGCCCCGGCTGGAGAGTCTGGCTTCGTGCTTCATGGAAGAGCTCTCTGAGCCTCTGCTTTGTAGGGGTTTAGGGTTTAGGGTTTAGGGTTTAGAGTTTAGGGCTCGAGTTTCGGCTTCTGTATCAACATTGAAGGGCTTTGTGTGCTACATAGTCAAGACTTGTTATTGACAAACACACACCTTGAGGTCGTCCACGGCAGCTACGAAAAATCTAAACCCCCAAACCCTGAACCCTAAACCCTAAACCCTAAAACCTACACCGAGAACCCTAAACCTAAGCCCTAAACCTAAGAGGAATGGGTTCGAAACAGCTCGACTCATGGATCCTCTATAGGAATACAACGAAACATGGGGAATACAGTCCATGTGGGAACTTCCTCCTTACACCCTAAACCCTAAACCCTACACCCTAAACCCTAAAGCCCTGTAAACCATGGTCTCAAATGATGCGTGGAGGGCTTCAGCTTAAACGCGGCTGACTCCGGAAGGACCACTGGGAAGCCAAAACCCTACCTTAAGAAGCCCAAACTCCGCTTCTTTGTAGGCTAGTTCCATAAACCCCTTCTCAGAGGACCAGGGGACCAGGGGACCCGAGCCACACCTTTTAAAAACAAAGAACCCTTGGCCCTTCGGAAACCTGCAAAAAAAGGTTTTGGGTTCTTGAGGCAGATCCTAACCCGCGCTCAAACTAGGCGTCAGTGTCGCGTCGGGACCTACAAGGGTAGGAGATTGAGGGCTTGGTTCCATGTCGTGCGGGGCGATGAGCTTCGTAGGATGTAGACTTGAGCCACGGTTTAGGGTTTAGGGTTTAGGGTTAGGGCTTAGGGTTTAGGGTTCAGGGGCCTGGGACAAGAGGCGTGTAACGGGGAAGAACCAAAATCCCTAAAGCCCCTCGACGCTTCTACTTGCCCTCTAAGCCCGAATCCCAGGTGGGAGAGTGGCGAGACGCACGAAGACACAGTCTAAACAGAAGCCCCGAAACGGAAGCACTGTTGCAGTGAACATTTCGGTGGCTTAACAGGAGAACCTGCACGCCGATGTCAATAAAGGAGACACGAAGCCTTAAACCCTAAACCCTAAACCCTAAAATGTGCAAACTAACAACCCTGAACTTAACCCTAGCCCTAAACCCTAAACCCTAAACCCCTCAAACCCTAAACCCCTAAACCCCTAAACCCTAAACCCTACGGTGCCTATTTTTTAATATGCGGACATTTAAATAAATAAAAAAATATTTTATACTACCTCCGTGAGGGGTTGGGTGGGGCCGCCCCTTTTTTAAACACCCGGAAACCATCACCATTAAAATTACCCCCGTGGAAACGGGGTTGTCCACGACGTCGGCTGCCTGCTGTCGGTTGAAGGTGTTGTTGTGGGTTGGAGTTTGGGCTTAGACTTTTGTAATGGCTTGGAGGCTTTCAGCCCTGGGACATTGTCCTAGGCTGTTTTCTGGCTTCTTCCCACGCCTGAAAGGCCCCAAGCCCCAGAAACCTAGGACATCGTCCTAGGGTGTTTTCCGGCTTCTTCCCACCCCTGAAAGGCCCCAAGCCCACAGAAACCTAGGACATTGTCCTAGGCCCCAGCCCCAGAAACCAAGGACATTGTCCTAGGGTGTTTTCCGGCTTCTTCCCACCCCTGCAAGGCCCCAAGCCCACAGAAACCTAGGACATTGTCCTAGGGCGTTTCTGGCTTCCCAAGCCACAGAAACCTAGGACATTGTCCTAGGGTGTTTTCTGAAAGGCCCCAAGCCCACAGAAACCTAGGACATTGTCCTAGGGTGTTTTCTGGCTTCTTCCCACCCCTGAAAGGCCCCAAGCCCACAGAAACCTAGGACATTGTCCTAGGGTGTTTTTCTGGCTTCTTCCCACCCCTGAAAGGCCCCAAGCCCCAGAAACCTAGGACATTGTCCAAGGGTGTTTTCTGGCTTCTTCCCACCCCTGAAAGGCCCCAAGCCCCAGAAACCTAGGACATTGTCCTGGGTGTTTTCTGGCTTCTTCCCACCCCTGAAAGGCCCCAAGCCCCCAGAAACCTAGGACATTGTCCTAGGGTGTTTTCTGGCTTCTTCCCACCCCTGAAAGGCCCCAAGCACCAGAAACCTAGGACATTGTCCTACGGTGTTTTCTGGCTTCTTCCCACCCCTGAAAGGCCCCAAGCCCCAGAAACCTAGGACATTGTCCCACGGTGTTTTCTGGCTTCTTCCCACCCCTGAGAGGCCCCAAGCCCACAGAAACCTAGGACATTGTCCTAGGGTGTTTTCTGGCTTCTTCCCACCCCTGAAAGGCCCCAAGCCCCCAGAAACCTAGGACATTGTCCTAGGGTGTTCTCTGGCTTCTTCCCACCCCTGACAGGCCCCAAGCCCCAGAAACCTAGTACATTGTCCTAGGGTGTTTTCTGGCTTCTCCCCACCCCTGAAAGGCCCCAAGCACCAGAAACCTAGGACATTGTCCTACGGTGTTTTCTGGCTTCTTCCCACCCCTGAAAGGCCCCAAGCCCACAGAAACCTAGGACATTGAATGTCGCAGCGAGATTTCTTTTCTCGTGAATTTAACTTCCCAACCAGTTCTCACCATTTGTTCGGTGCTCAGGATGTTGTGCGCCACATCTGCAACAACTCCAGTCACATACACCGAAATCAAACCAAGGTACTGTTGTCCTTCATACATCGGCAACAAAGCTCGAATGCGAACTCGCTCAAAGACACTCACCGGAGTATCATTGGCTGCTGAGTACCTCTCATTAGGTCCCAACGCCTTCCGATCCAAGATCTGGAACTCATCCAAGTATCTTTTCGCAATCACTGTCACCGACGCTCCTGAGTCGATCAAGACTCTGTGTAGGGCCACGTCCCCTCGGTTCGTCCCGGCAGCTGACACAGCTGTAGTTACTGCCCGTAGCAGAACCCGGAGCAGTCTTCCGGCGATCTGCCCGCTCATGAAAACTCAGACGACCTCGCAGTTTCGCCCACAATTTGGAGGTGAGTCCGACGCAACGATGTCCTTGATTCTGTCCACTGCATCCTGAGTTTTTTCTTCTGTGTTCGAGACAACAACAGATCGATCATCGTCCTCCAGACATGAAAATTGCACTCCCAACGCCCTAAAAGCCGTGTTGAGGGTGTTTTCTGGCTTCTTCCCACCCCTAAAAGGCCCCAAGCACCAGAAACCTAGGACATTGTCCTGCGGATTTCTGGCTTCTTCCCACCCCTGAAAGGCCCCAAGCCCACAGAAACCTAGGACATTGTCCTAGGGTGTTTTCTGGCTTCTTCCCACCTCTGAAAGGCCCCAAGCCCACAGAAACCTAGGACATTGTCCTAGGGTGTTTTCTGGCTTCTTCCCACCCCTGAAAGGCCCCAAGCACCAGAAACCTAGGACATTGTCCTACGGTGTTTTCTGGCTTCTTCCCACCCCTGAAAGGCCCCAAGCCCACAGAAACCTAGGACATTGTCCTAGGGTGTTTTCTGGCTTCTTCCCACCCCTAAAAGGCCCCAAACACCAGAAACCTAGGACATTGTCCTGCGGTGTTTTCTGGCTTGTTCCCACCCCTGAAAGGCCCCAAGCCCACAGAAACCTAGGACATTGTCCTAGGGTGTTTTCTGGCTTCTTCCCACCCCTGAAAGGCCCCAAGCACCAGAAACCTAGGACATTGTCCTACGGTGTTTTCTGGCTTCTTCCCACCCCTGAAAGGCCCCAAGCCCACAGAAACCTAGGACATTGTCCTAGGGTGTTTTCTGGCTTCTTCCCACCCCTAAAAGGCCCCAAGCACCAGAAACCTAGGACATTGTCCTGCGGTGTTTTCTGGCTTCTTCCCACCCCTGAAAGGCCCCAAGCCCACAGAAACCTAGGACATTGTCCTAGGGTGTTTTCTGGCTTCTTCCCACCCCTGAAAGGCCCCAAGCCCACAGAAACCTAGGACTTTCTGGCTGCCCACGGCCCTGAAAAACCTGCAAAAGCCCAGAAACCCCAAAGGCCCCCCGAGAGCCCCTCGAGTGTTTTTCTATCCAAACCACTGAAAAGCACCAAAACCAATTCCAGGCGTCGGCGAGTTGCCCCAAGTGCCAGGGCAAAGCAAGGGCACTTAGATTATACATTTAAACACACGGAAATTTAAATAGATATTTTATACTACCTCTGTGGCTTGTGGCCCGGGCCCGCCCTCCACATGTTTAAAAACAGTCACCGTAAACCCTAAACCCTAACCCTAAACCCTAAACCCTAACCCTAAACCCTAAACCCTAAACCCTAGTCAACCGTGCATGCTCTGTAGCCCAGGTGCATATCTTGGGGCAGCGTCTCTAGCAGCTCAAGGTGCGCCTCGCACGTAGAAAGAGAGACTGTTAGGGTTTAGGGTTTAGGGTTTAGGGTTTAGGGTTTAGGGTTTAGGGTTTAGGGTTTAGGGTTTAGGGTTTAGGGTTTAGGGTTTAGGGTTTAGGGTTTAGGGTTTAGGGTTAGGGTTTCGGGTTTCGGGTTACGTGGCAAGGGTTTGAGGGGTCGCAGCTTTCGGGGCTGAGGGCTTAACTGCCTGCACGCCCGCTGCATGCAACCTCCCGCAGGGGAGCCAAGGCAATGTAGGGGCCTTAAGACTTGGAATAGGGATTTGAGGGTTGTAGTATACTGATCAGCACACGCTGAAACAGGTCATGATGCGAATGCAGCAGCCCAATCCCCGCCGCTGGACTTACGGCTCAGCGCTGGCATTTTGGGAAGGATGCGCTGCAGCAGCCCCTAGGACGGTAGTGGCGTATGCGACTCGGGTCGGTGATGTTTCCGTTGAGAAATGGGCAAGCACGACCCGCCGCTTCGCGTTCATGTGGCATTCTTGACGAGTCTCAGTGGTGAGTGGCAAGTATACTTCGTAAGAGTAACCAGTTGTCTTAGCGTACGTGGGCGTTGGCATGAATGAGATACAAGAAGCCCTAACCCTTAAACTCTGAAATATTTTGCCCATACATATTTTTCAGGAGTCTGTAGATGTCTGTAGGAGCCTGAAGAAACAGAAGAGGTTTTTGAGGGTTACCATCGTTTAGTTAGATAGGGACCATAAGGGACTACTACTAGCAATTATTCTGACCCTAAATTACTACTACAAGCAATTCTTCTGACCCTTATCTTAGTAGCCCAGTAACCATATTACAATAAGGGCCCCCCTTTTTGGGTTATAAGGGAAACGAGAAGCAAAAAAAGGGTAAAGGGTACCACTGGGCAACCAAGCCCTTATATTCCTTATGTTGTAGTACATGCACACACACACACAAACACAGAGACATGTTGGTTTCCGGATGCGCGTTTTTGCGCGTTAAGCTGCCTGGAGCGACTTCTTCCGCGAATGCTCCCTCTCCACGTAGCCTGCAGGACACATGTGGAAGACCCGAAACCCTAAACCCTAAACCCTAAACCCTAACCCCTAAAGCCTAAACCCTAAACCCTAAACCCTAAAACCAAGTCGAAGCAGCCCAAGAATCCTGAAACCCCTTGCTCAGAACAAACCTACCTAAAACCCTCAGCAACCCATGCACTACACATCCGAAGCCCTGCAACCCTACTGGGTTTAGGGTTTAGGGTTTAGGGTTTAGGGTTTAGGGTTTAGGGTTCAGGGTTTAGGGTTTAGGGTTTAGGGTGCTCCTAAACCCGCAGCCGCACCCCCAAAGCACCCCAAATGAACACCCTCGACCCCAAAGGCACTTAAGAGATTCCCACTTGCGCCCCTACGGCTGTTCCCCCACAACAATTCCCACAGTATTAGGGTTTAGGGTTTAGGGTTTAGGGTTTGGCAACCTTGGCTGAGGTAAGGTCCTGTGAAGTGCCCGTAATCATAGCAAACATGCTTGACACCTCGGGGACGGATCACCCCTGTCCTGAACCATGTAAGCCCTAAAGCCCAACCCTAAACCCTAAACCCTAAACCCTAAAGCCTAAACCTTAAACCCCAAAACCCGAACACCAACACATGTCCAACGCCACTAGCTGGGCTGCTCTTGATGCTCATCGCATGGGTCACCGAGATGTGGTGGGAGCTGCAGTACTCACGTACCTCAGTGGGGAGACAGATATGGGGGGGTTTACGAAAATAAGGGACCCCTATATAGACCCCCAAATGGTATGATTCCCTTATGATAAGCCCAATGGGTTTAGGGTTTAGGGTTTAGGGTTCAGGGTTTAGGGCATAGTCAGGACCCCCGTAGAAGGTACCCCCTAATTTCGGAAACCCCCAAGTACATGAGGGCTTCAGTGAATGGCTTCGGAAACCGCTGGGACCTAAAACCCGAAAATCCTGGCGCCAATGAAAGTACTTCTGCAGGGTTTTCTGGTTGTAGGGGATCTAAGCTTGCAGCCCATACTTCCGAGCCCTTTCAAGAAAGCCAGGGACCATATTCAGGGATCATTTAGCTTCCCTTAGGGCTTCCCGTAGAAAGTCACACGGAAGTTTAAGTAGGATTCCCTTCTGATAAGGACCCCAATCAGGCATGGGCCGAAAGCCTTGTGCCCAGTCGTCATAAGTGGCGTCTGCCTTCTTGGTGCTTAGCTAGACGACTGACGGTTTAGGGTTTAGGGTTTAAAGGTTCAGGGTTCAGGGTTCAGGGTTCACGCGTTGGAGGCCTACACCCAGTCGAGGGCTGCAGCCGACCCGCAACCGAAGCGAGAAACCCCGAAACCTGCACTCTTGTGCTTGCCCTCGTGTACTACACTAGACCCAGGAGTTTCCTCGGAAAACAAAGGGTGCCCCTATTGGGAACGTAACACCCTAAGCAAGGGAAAAAAAAAAACAAGAGGAGAAGCAGGGCCTACATTGTGCGACCATGGTGCCGACTGCAGGAGCTGCTTCTTCCTCTGCCGCCGCCGCTCGATGTCGGCCATGGTGTTTGTGATGCTACCTTCATATATGGGGTTTAGGGTTTAGGGTTTAGGGTTTAGGGTTTAGGGTTTAGGGTTTAGGGGTTAAATTTAAGGGTTAAGGGTTAAGGGTTTCGGGATTCTTCCTCGGACCCCCAAGGTTGTACTCCTTGGGTTTGGCCCCCCAAAGGTGTTATGAGGGCCGGCCATACTAGGTGTATATGAAAGGGACTCCTCTTAGGGGTACGGCCTTAGGGGTGCCAGTCTGAATCCCTTGATACCTGGGATCGGGGTTTAGGGACTTGGGGGTTTGCGAAATTAGGGGTACCTTATTGGTGTCCTGATTACAAGGGAATCCTACTCTTTGGGGATCTGTGTTTGGGGTCCCCTTATTTCGTAAACGGCCCTGAACCCTAAACCCTAGCGCAAACCCTAAAGCCTGAATTTCAGGATTTCGGGAGTAGGCATGGAGGGTTCAAGGGGAAGGGGAATGCTGCTTACTGGGGAGGAGGTGCCGCGCTACACGCTGCCATTGCAGCCCTCCAACGCACGAAGCAAAAGCTACTCGACACTCCCAAATATAAGCCCGAAGCCCTGAGCCTTGTAGGCCACAGACACTTGCTAATCAAAGCCCCTCACCCTAAACCATAAGCCCTAAACCCTAAAGCCCCTACACCCTAAACCGTTTCAGTCAGCAGGGTTTAGGGCTTCGCGTAGGGACGCCCTGAACAGCAATCGCTACACCCTAAACCCCAAACCTGTTCAGGGTTTAGGGGTTAGGGTTTCGGGCTTGGGGTTTAGGGTTTAGGGCTTAGGGTCTGGGGCTTAGGGTTGTTAACCCTGGACCATGTAGGGTTTCACGCCAGCGTGGACCCAAGTGCTTCCCAGCAGCTGATGAAGAACGAGCTGAAACCCAAGGCGAGGAAGCTGGCGAAGATTGCAAGACCTCGTGCGAACAGGGTTTAGGGCTTCGGGTTTGGGGTTTGGGGTTTAGGATTTAGGGCCGTTTAGCGTCTAGCGTTTAGGGGTTTAGGGGGTAGGGGTTTAGGAGTTTATAAGGGTCTAGGGGATAGGGGTTTAGGGGTTTAGAAGTTTAGGGGTTTAGGGGTTTAGGGGTTTAGGGGTTTAGGGTTTAGGGGTTTAGGGGTTTAGGGGTTTAGGGGTTTAGGGGTTTAGGGGTTTAGGGGTTCGGGGTTAGGGTGAGTGACGTACGGTGCCCATGGGCTTGAGGGTTTCGGGTTTTTTTCGGGGGGTTAGGGTCTAAGGGTAGTTGCATGGACCCTTAGTCTTACAAGCCTTGTGTGCCCCTTATATACCCTCTACGACGCTACGAATCAAGGGCAGGGCCCATGCTTCAGAACCCTTTAGAGGAGGTAAGGGACCATATTAAGGGCCCATGAAACTGCCGTTAGGGTTTAGGGTTCAGGGTTTGGGGTTCCCTGGGCCCTAAACCCTCCTAAGCCTTCGACCCTCAACCCAAAACCCAAAACCCAAAACCCTAAACCCTAAACCCAAACCGAAACCCGAAACCCGAAACCCTAAACCCTAAGCAACGATGGAAAGCCCGCTGAGCTCCATTCCTCGCTCACCAGCAGTCTCCAGCTCCATGTTGCTCTGCATGGCTGAAGGATGCCTAAGAAGGGGTTTAGGGGTTTTGGGTTTAGGGTTCTGGGGCTTGGGATGTAGGGTTTGGGGTTTAGGGCTTAAGGTTCTAAGCTTCATGGAACTGCAGGTTTAGCGGCTTATCGGGCTTCGGGCGCTTCGGCTTAGGGCGCTGTGGCGCTGTAGGCGTCGGGGTGTGGGGCGTTGCGGGCTTGCAGCCCCCCTCGGATACCCTGTAAGCCCTACAAGCCCAATGAGCCCTCAACCCTAAACCCCAAACCGTCCTAAACCCTGAACCCTATAGGCCCCCTAAGCCCTAAACCTGAAACCCTAAACCCCAAATCCCCACAGCCCCAATTGGCTCTGTTCGGCCCTTCGACGGCTCTAGCCTCTTGGCCCTTTTTCGGCCTCTTGTTGGGGGTTTGGTAGGGTTTAGGGCCTTAAGTAGGGTTTAGGAGCCCTAACTAACCCGAAGAGAAAGCCCTAAACCCGAAGAAGCTCTAAGAGCCAGATAGGGCCTTAAGTAGGGTTTAGGAGCCCTAACTAACCCGAAGAGAAAGCCCTAAACCCGAAGAAGCTCTAAGAGCCAGATAGGGCCTTAAGTAGGGTTTAGGAGCCCTAACTAACCCGAAGAGAAAGCCCTAAAACCCGAAGAAGCTCTAAGAGCCAGATAGGGCCTTAAGTAGGGTTGAGGAGCCCGAACTAACCCGAAGAGAAAGCCCTAAACCCGAAGAAGCTCTAAGAGCCAGATAGGGCCTTAAGTAGGGTTTAGGAGCCCTAACTAACCCGAAGAGAAAGCCCTAAACCCGAAGAAGCTCTAAGAGCCAGATAGGGCCTTAAGTAGGGTTTAGGAGCCCTAACTAACCCGAAGAGAAAGCCCTAAACCCGAAGAAGCTCTAAGAGCCAGATAGGGCCTTAAGTAGGGTTTAGGAGCCCTAACTAACCCGAAGAGAAAGCCCTAAACCCGAAGAAGCTCTAAGAGCCAGATAGGGCCTTAAGTAGGGTTTAGGAGCCCTAACTAACCCGAAGAGAAAGCCCTAAAACCCGAAGAAGCTCTAAGAGCCAGATAGGGCCTTAAGTAGGGTTGAGGAGCCCGAACTAACCCGAAGAGAAAGCCCTAAACCCGAAGAAGCTCTAAGAGCCAGATAGGGCCTTAAGTAGGGTTTAGGAGCCCTAACTAACCCGAAGAGAAAGCCCTAAAACCCGAAGAAGCTCTAAGAGCCAGATAGGGCCTTAAGTAGGGTTTAGGAGCCCTAACTAACCCGAAGAGCAAGCCCTAAACCCGAAGAAGCTCTTAAAGAGCCAGATAGGGCCTTAAGTAGGGTTTAGGAGCCCTAACTAACCCGAAGAGAAAGCCCTAAACCCGAAGAAGCTCTTAAAGAGCCAGATAGGGCCTTAAGTAGGGTTTAGGAGCCCTAACTAACCCGAAGAGAAAGCCCTAAACCCCAAAAAAGCTCGAAGAGCCAGAGCTCAATCTGGAAAGCGCGAACTCCACCGAGCGCAGATACTGCAGGTAGCTCGGCATCGACTGGAGACCTCGCTGTTTCGGGTTTATAGGGTTTTAGGGCTTTAGGGTTTTAGGGTTTAGGGTTTAGGGTTTATAGGGTTTTAGGGTTTTAGGGCTTAGGGCTGTTTATAGGGTTTAATAGGGTTTAACAGGGTTTATTGGGGCTTACTGGCGTTTATTAGGGTTTGCTGGATTTCATAGGGTTTTAATGGGGTTCGTAGGGTTTATAGGGCTTCTAGGGTTTCTAGGGCTTCTAGGGCTTCTAGGGTTTCTAGGGCTTCTAGGGTTCCTAGGGTTTGTAGGGTTTTACAGGGTTTGTGGGGTTTACAGGGTTTATAGGGTTTACAGGGTGTACAGGGCTTAGGATTTCGAGCTTATAGGGTTTAGTGCGGTTTAGGGTTTAAGGCTTCATGGGGTTTCGGGCGCTTGGGGGTTTATAGGGTTTAGGTGGGTTTGGGGTTCATGGGGTTTAGGGGGGTTTGGGGGGGGTTAGGGATTGCAGGGTCTACTTGGTTCATTGGTTCAGGGTTTCAAGGGTTTGCTTGTGCTGAGCCTCGTTGTGCAGAACCACCAAAATCTGAAATATGGGGGGGGCATTGTCCAAAAATGGGGGTGGGCAAGACCCTAAACCCTCAACCCTAAACCCTAAACCCTAAACCCTAAACCCTAATCTACCATGAAAGGACTGACGATGCCCGCTCTCGCCAAGTCGGTGCGCCATCGGCCGCTCGAGGTGCTCGCGTCCTGGAGATGGATCGCTCTTCTCAGGGGCAACGCCCCGGCAATGGAAACCCTAAACCCTAAATCCTAAACCCTAAATCCTAAACCCTAAACCCTAAACCCTAAACCCTAAATCCTAAACCCTAAACCCTAAACCCTAAACCCTAAACCCTAAACCCACCTGAGGCTGGCGTGTGCTCCAAGTCCGTCAAGTGCAGGTCGTCTTCAGGGTCACGTGGATCCCACTGTTCGGAGTCCCGACACATAAATTGTACAGAGCAGAGGAGGAAGCGCCTCCTGCCCCCTCCCGAGGTTTAGGGTTTAGGGTTTAGGGTTTGGGGTTTAGGGTTTAGGGTTTAGGGTTTAGGGTTTAGGATTTAAGGTTTAGGGTTTAGGGTTTAGGATTTAGGGCTTAGGGTTTAGGGTTTAGGGTTTAGGGTTTAGGGTTTAGGGTTTAGGGTTTAGGGTTTAGGGTTTAGGGTTTAGGGTTTAGGGTTTAGGGTTTAGGGTTTAGGGTTTAGGGGTCGAACGGGCTTGCCCGTCGGCCTCGAAGCAGTTGGAGATCTGTTTGGCTTAGAGGCTTCGGGGATGGGCGCGGCTTACCTGTCAACGCCGAAGCCTACTTTGCCTACTTTCTTGCAAGAATCTTACAAGCCCTAAGCCCTAAACCTTAAACCCTGAACCCTGAACCCTAAACCCTCAACCGTAAACCCCAAATCCTAAACCCTAAACCCTAAGCCCCCGGGGTTGGTGTGCAATCAGAATCTACACCAAGTCCGTACCGAGAGGCGCCTAGGGCCTCGGCACATTCAACCACATTCTTCTTCTGGCTGGTTCTTTGTCTTAGTAGCCCAGTAACCATAGTAACCATATAATAGTAAGGACACCCTTTTTGGGGTTTTTGTTTACTTTACAAGGGAACCCATAACCAAAAGAAAGGGTCAAGGGTACCAGCGGGCTACTAAGTTCTTTGTAGGGAATGAAATGAGGGCCCTGTGTAATCCCTGAAGGGTATGTATAGTAAAATATCTAGGGTCCCCTAAAAAAAACCAGGGGGTCTTCTTCTACTGCAAGTTCGGGTAGTCTGGGGTTCTTCTTACTTGCCCAAAACCAAGGGCAAAAGAGGCGAAACTTGATTATTCCTACTAAGTCACGTAAACCCTTAACCCTTAACCCTTAATTAACCCTTAACCCTAAGGTCTGGTCGTCAAGCCGCACAACCAATCGTAAGCCCCCCTGGTTATTAGCAGGGAATGAGGGAATGAGGAATCCGGGAATGAGGGGCCTGTATATACCCTGTAAGGGTTTAGGGTTTAGGTTTTAGGGTTTAGGTGTTTATGTACGAGTAGGGTACCTCATTCCCTCATAAGAACCAGCCATGAGCCTGAAGCCCAACTGACACGCCTGCGAGGGAGACCCAACCTCTGTCAACATCGCCGATTGCAAACCTTGGAGTTGGGAGCCATCTGGAGCTTCAGCCCAAACATCTGAACCCAAAAACTTGAACCCTAAACCCCTTTTAGGGTTGAACTTTGGGGAACCCTAAACCCTAAACCCTGAACCCTAAACCCTAAACCCTAAATTTGGGGATATCTCTAAGCACAAAAACCCTGCGGGCGTCTGGCATATCGGCCTCAGGACATGAGGTTTTGGGGCTGTGCGTCATTCGTGTCGCAAGGTTGAGGCTTCCTCCTCAGGGCTTAGGGGTTTGGGGTTTAGGGTTTAGGGTTTAGGGTTTAGGGTTTAGGGTTCAGGGTTCAGGGTTTAGGGTTTAGGGTTTAGGGTTCAGGGTTCGGGGCCTGAGGACTCCATGGTCGGGAACCCCAACCACCAGCATGCCACGTAACATCTCAGAAGCACAAAAAACCTCAAAGCCACAAAGCCCTAGAACCCTGAACCCTGAACCCTAAACCCTAAACCCTAAACCCTAAACCCCAGAACCCTAAACCCTATCCTTACATAGCTCCCGAACCACACTCTTCGGCACAATAAACCCCTACCCTAAGACCTTTTGGGCCCGAAAACCCCCAGCACAAGAATCCTCAGAGGATGGGTTTATAAGGATTTATAGGGTTTGTGGGGTGTCCATCGGGTTCTTGGGGTGTAGGGTCGAGGGCTTAGGGATTATGGGGTCTATGGGGTTTGTAGGGGTTTTTTGGGGTGTCTAGGGTTTATGCGGATCTATAGGGGTTGTGTAGGGTTTAGTGGGGTTTGTGTCGGGTCTATAGGGGCTGCACACAACCAAGCTGCCATAGGCATGCCAGCACATGTGCCAAGTAGATTGTCATGAATCCTGGGACTCAGACAGGTAGTTCTCTAGGTATAGGGTTTAGGGTTTAGGGTTTAGGGTTTAGGGCTTAGGGCTTAGGGTTTAGGGATTAGGGTTTAGGGTTTAGGGTTTAGGGTTTAGGGATTCTGATGCCCTTGGGGGTCCGATGATATAGCAGGGCACCCTTCAAAGAAGAACCATTAAAAAAGTTGCCCCAGGGTGCTGCCCGATGCAAGTTCCGGTGAAGGAATGGGAGCAGGTTGGCTGCAGGCTTGTGTAGGGTTTTAGGGTTTAGGGTTTAGGGTTTAGGGTTTAGGGTTTAGGGTTTAGGGTTTAGGGTTTAGGGCTTAGGATTCAGGGTCCTCCGACCCTGGCGGCGTGTTGGATGGGTTTGTGTGTTTGGGAGGTGAAAACCTTCCGTTTCCTTCCTTACACCCCACACCCGGCAGCTTTTTCCGTGGAGGCCCTAAACCCTAAACCCTAAACCCTAAACCCTAAACCCTAAACCCTAAACCCTAAACCCTAAACCCTAAACCCTAAACCCTAAACCCTAAACCCTAAACCGCGGCACCTGGTGGCTGGGCATGCTTGGGGGAGACGAAGGACAAGATTTGTGTTTGTGTCTACGCTGGGACCTTTCTAAGGGACCCGACCCCCCCTGAGACCCTAAACCCTAAACCCTAAACCCTAAACCCTAAACCCTAAACCCCAAACCCGAAACCCTAAACCCTAAACCCCAAACCCTAAACCCGAAACCCTAAACCCGAAACCCTAAACCCCAAACCCTGAACCCCCTGAAACCCCTGACCGATATAGTCTGCCTGGACTTCCCATAACACCCTAGAGCCGATCTTCTGAAAGCCCCTGCCTGGGCCCTTGGCCCCCTTGGAGCTGCTAAGACAGGTTGGGGTTGAATGTTTACGGTTTAGGGTTCAGGGTTTAGGGTTCAGGGGTTTAGGGTTTAGGGTTTAGGGTTGAGGGTTTTCTCCTGCAGGGTCGGCGGCATGATCCGGAGGCCCTTTAATGTTTTTCTTTAAGCCCTTGATAAACCCTTCGAACCCTATAAACCCTACATCCTACATCCTTCAAACCCACACCCTATAAACCCTCAATCCTATATCCTAAAACCTAAACCCTACATGTAAACCTTAAACTCTATGCAACCCCTAAAATCCTGAACCCTAAGCCCAAAAAACCCTCAACGCAACCCAGTGAACCCCTCTTGCTGATTCGCTCAGCTGCCAACTGCTCTGTAGAGAGCTTTGAGGGTTTAGGGACTTTAGGGTTTATAGTGTTCACAGGTGCTATGGGGTTTCCTAGAGTTTCTACCGTTTTCAGGGTCACACAGGCCTTAGCCTAGCCCTAAACCCTAAACCCTAAACCCTAAACCCTAAACCCTAAACCCTAAACCCTAAACCCTAAACCCTAAACCCTAAACCCTAAACCCTAAACCCTAAACCCTAAGGAACTCTCCTGTGGGGCCTGTCACTGGCATTCAGGGGGTCTAGGGGGTTTAGGGGGGTTTAGGGGGGTTTAAGGAGGTTTAGGGGGTTTAGGGGCCTTTCTCCTTGCGGCCGGCTCGCCGTACTTGATGATGCGTAGAGCCAGTAGGATGATGGCGTTATTCACTTGCTCGATCAGCTTGCGTAGGACTTTCCTCAAGGCAAGCGCTGCTGAGTCTGGCGCCTGTGGGGTTTAAGGCTTAGGGGGATTAGAGGTTCAGGGTTTGGGGGTCTCGGGTTTAGAGGTTGAGGGGTTTAGGGTTTAGGGGTTTAGGTTTTAGGAGTTTAGGATTTAGGGTTTAGCCCTTAGGTGTACCGTGTTGGGGTCCTTATTATAAAGGACTAAACCTAAAAAACCCTAAACCCTAAACCCTAAAACCCTACACCCTAAACCCTAAACCCCTCGGGAGCTCGCGCTCTTGGATCGCAAGTTCTCTTCGGCTTGTCTTCAATAAGCTTGCGTTAAGGTCTCTTTTGGGCTTCTTGGGGTTTCCAGGGCATCTTTGGGGGCCTTTTACGGGTTTCTAGACCCTAAACCCCAAACCCCAAACCCCAAACCCTAACCCTAAACCCTAAACCCTAAACCCTAAACCCTAAACCCTAAACCCTAAACCTAAGGGCTTCTCAGGTTTCTTGAAGGTTTTTTTGGGAGTGGGTCCCAGGTGCATCAGCTTGAACAGGCGGAGGAGTCGCAGGAAGCGCAGGAGCCGCAGCAGTCTTCCCTGAGACCCACATGGCGGCGCTTTCTTCAGGGTTTTAAGTTTCAAGGGGGCGTAAACAGGGCCCTAAACCCGAAACCCTAAACCCTAAACCCTAAACCCGTGAACCCCAAACTCCTAAACCCTAAGCCCTAAACCCTAAACCCAAAATAGCTTAGGGCTTTGGCCTTATAGGTTTAGGAGCCACCACGAGACCCCACAAGCCCGCAAGCCGCCCAGGGCAGGGCGAGACACCCAGGCCACTCCATGAAACACTTAGGTTCTACTTGGAGGTTCATGGCACGTTATTAACCAACTATAACTGTACTTATAGCCCACTTATAAGCCCCTTAACTGCTCTAATATGGCGAGAAGTACAGTTAGAAGTACAGTTATAATTCCTAAACCCTAAACCCTAAACCCTAAACCCTAAACCCTAAACCCTAAACCCTAAACCCTAAACCCTAAACCCATAATAAGTACCATGAACCTCCAAGCAGGGGCTCCGGGCTTCATTCGGGAGTTGGGTTGGGCTTTGTCAGGGCCCTAAACCTTTATGTAGGGTATAGGTTTTAGGGTTTAGGGTTTAGGGTTTAGGGTTTAGGGTTTGGGGTTTAGGGTTTAGGGTTTAGGGTTTAGGGTACCTTTTTTGGTTTACAGGGGCTCTTTTAGCGAACCCGAACCCTACAAAAAAAGGGAATCAGGGCCTACTCTAGGTTGCTTAGCGTGTTAGCGTGTTAGCGTGTTTAGGGCTTACAGGAACCCAAACCCGAACAACAGGGAATAAGGGCCCACTCTGGGTTGTTTAGCGGTAGGGCGTTCAGGGCTTACGACCAAGTGTGGTGCAGGGCTTCAGAAGCGGCTGGGGCGTGTAAGCCCAGGTGTCTTGCGTGAGAGCCCATTTACCTACCCCCGGAACCCCCCTTCCTTCAGGACCCTATATGTTTTCACACCCAAAGAAACTTGAAACCCACATGAGCGGTGGTTTTTACTCGATGATGTTGTTAATGGAAATCTATTTCCTTCCGCGGAACCCTTCCGCGGACCTTCCGCGCCTCGAAAGGTAGCTTCCGCTTAAAATGTCATTATAAGCTCGTATGCACCCAAGCCAGAAAGCCTACACCCTACAAGCCCATATCCCTCAAGCCGGATAATCCCCGGCACACCCCAAACCCTAACCCAACGCCTAAACCTCGTAACCTTGGTACAGTGTTGGTGCTCTGGCCAAGTTGCCGCGCGAAGGGCACGCACAACGCCCACGCCGTCCGCGGCCTCTACTCAGAGAAACTCCGAGCGGTTTAGGGCTTAGGGTTTAGGGTTTGAAAGGGGCTCTAGAGGTGGCACCCTAAACCCTAAACCAAACCCTACACCCTAAACCCTACTGGGACCATAGGATAAGCTTTCAATTCGGGAGCTGCGAAGCACGCAAGACACCCCAAGCCGATAAAGTCCGGTCGAGCCATGGGTGCGGAGCTAACAGGGGTTTAGGGTTTAGGGTTTAGGGTTTAGGGTTTAGGGTTTAGGGTTTAGGGTTCAGTCTTGGGTTTACAGCTTCGTGGTTTGAGGGTATGCCTTGTCCTGGATGCCCAAACCCTGCAGAGCTCACACAACAGCTCTCTTTTCAGTACATAGCCATACCTTCTAGCCCAACAGAAAAGTAGCAGGGGCAATCGTGAGGGCTGATTTGGGGGGGGGGGGGGGGGGGGGGGGGGGGGGGGGTGGGGGGGGGGGGGGTCTGGGTAGGCCGCAACTTGCTTGCAGCCTCCGCGGACACATCGTCTGTGTAGGTCGCTATGGAATACATGTCCTGGCGGCAGGGCGGTTTGTTTTGCTTTTTGCTGTTTTTGGCTGCTGAGTTCAGGTTTAGGGTCTTTGTGGGGGTGGGATGTGGGGGTTTAGGGTCTTTCGCGGGCGGGGGGGTGGGAGGGCGGGGCCAGTTTGGGCTAGACTTTTGCCTTCCAACCATATCAAAATCAAATAAATTCACCATTGTTTTTGGTCTTTTTGGCTTGAGATAAAGGAAACCTTAACCCTGGACCCTAAACTTGGGTGGGATGTTCCCCCCTTCTACTAACAGGCCTTAAAGAGGACGATAAGAATGATACTATAATCCCTGGTAAGGACAAAGGACTCTTCGTGTAAGGGGGAACATCCCAACCGACCCTAAACCCTAAACATAGGAAGAGGGGTTTAGGGTTTAGGGTTTAGGACTCACACGGGTGCCAGGGTACGTTTCGATATTTTGGGGTTGATTCGGTGCAATTTTCAGAATGGGGGCTAGAATCTGAGGTTTAGGGCTTCGGGTTTGGGGTTCGGGGTTTAGGGTTTAATCACTCAACCATTGCAACACGGTACGGCCTTGAAAGGATGTGCACGGTAAACCTTTACGGCTTTCGGGCAACTTCGAAGCATGGATGGTCTGAAAGCCCACATTGATTCATATCCCAGTCCCCGCAAGCCCTAAAACCCCTAAACCTCTACAACCCATCTACACTGAACCAAACTATACTCAGATCTTCCCATATTCCTTAGTACCGGAGTAATCACTCCCTACATTCGGATCCTTCAAAATGGAGAGTGATAATTTTCCAGAACTAAGGGATACTGGAAGCCCTAAACCCTAAACCCTGAGCCCCAGAACTTCGTATCCTCATCTCTCAGGAGATGAGGAAAATTAAAAAAGAGAGGTCCAATGGGCGAATGTAGATCTACACCCTAAACCCTAAACCCTGAACCCTAAACCCTAAACCCTAAACCCTAAACCCTTACTGACAACAATTGGGGGGGAGGGGGGTTGGGAGCTGGGGTTTGGGGTCTGGCTTCAGGCTTCTGGCGCTCTTGAGGATTCAGGGGTTTTGCAGGGCTTGCGTTTGGGTTTTGGGTTTTGGGTTTTGGGTTTTGGGTTTTGGGTTTTGGGTTTTGGGTTTAGGGATTGGGACTTTGGGTTGAGGCATACTTCATTCACCCTAAAGGTCTAGGGCATACTCCATCCTCCGTAAACCCTAATTCCTGAAGCCTAAACCAGTTTGTATTTAAGCGTGCCGGGCTCAGTCTTCAGGGTGTTGGGTTTAGGGTTTAGGGTCTACAGTAGGGTCTCGGGCAGGCTTAGGGTTTGGGATTTAGGGTTTAGGGCTTAAGGTTTAAGATTTTGGGCTTAGGGTTTAAGATTAGAGGTTAAGGGCCACACATGTGCCCCATATAATCAAACTGGTTTTATACTAGTGTTGACATGGTGAGCTTAGATAGGGCTCGTTCAAAAAAACATTGTGAGTGTGTACCTTTCGCTGTCCTTTTAGGGATGCGAAGACGAAAACCCGATTTCAGATTTTTTCACACTTCCCTAAAGAGGGGTCCCCCCAATGCATCCCAAAATGCAACAATGACATCATCGAGTTTTGAGGAATTTACAGGGTTCAGGACTTCACTTCGTCTTAAGCCGTCTCAGCACTGTCATGGTACCCTAAACCCTAAACCCTGAACCCTGAACCCTGAACCCTAAACCCGAAACCCCAAGCCCTAAACCCTAAACCCTATGAAGGATGTAGAGCTTTCGGGTGCAAGGCATGGCAGTCCGGAATCAAGACGAAGATGTCGAAGGCGAACCACGTCCTCAGAGGGTGGGGATAAGGGGGGGGGGGGGGGGTTAGGGTTTAGGGTTTAGGGTTTCGGGTTTAGGGTTTAGGGTTTCCTTCATTTGGAGACCCATGGAATGAACCCGACATCTTCGCGCTTGGCAGGTTTTAAGGTTTCGAGTTTAGGGTCTAGGGTTAGGGTTTAAGGTTTCGAGTTTAGGGTTTAGGGTTAGGGTTTAAGGTTTCAAGTTTAGGGTTTAGGGAAACTTCTAGGGGGGAAAGCTTGGAAGCCTTGTCTCGCAGGCTTCTCGTCTCATCGGCTCTCTATCGATCAGCCCTCACAGCCCTAGCGGCCAGCATTGTCACAGAGGATCATCCCACGGTTTAGGGTTTAGGGTTTAGGGTTTAGGGTTCAGGGTTCAGGGTTCAGGGTTCAGGGTTCAGGGTTTAGGGTTAGCTCAGAGGCACAGTGATCTATATCTGTCTGAAGTAACGGCATACATGAAGTTGATGTGGTACCCACATCCATGCGCGAAACCTTGTCATGCAAAATGACTTAACTTAACATAAGGGCTTTAGGCTTGGGATGTTCCCCCTTAATTATGCTAACAGTCCTCAATACTTCATAGGGATTCTAGTACCCCTCTCAGAACCCCCATTAAGGACTGTGAGTACACGGGGGAACATCCCAACTTTAGGCTTTTGTGGGGGGAAGAGCCCTAGTCAGGACAGCTGCCGCCGTGACCCGCAACCCTGGACCACCTCCACAGTGCAAAAACTACGCTCAAACCCTAAACCCTAAACCCTAAACCCTAAACCCTAAACCCTAAACCCTAAGCCCCGCTACTAGACCCAAGAGTAACCCAGGAATATATAGGGCGCCCTTTGTGATTTACAGGGGCTTCGAAGGGAACGAAGGCTCTAAAAAAAGGGAGTAAGGGCCCACTCTGGGTCCTAGCCTACCAAACCCTTACTGTAGGTAGGGTTCAGGGCTGTTTAGGGTTTAGGGCTTCGGGTTTAGGCCTTAGGGTTGTGGGTTTCCCACTCCCGCAAAAAAACGAAAGAAACTACAAGGCAGGGCCTAAAACTCAGCCTTGGAAAAAAACCCTAAGGGTCCATGTACCTACATAGGGAATACTTGCGCGTTGAAGTAATCCGAGGATCTGATTGATAAAGCCACCGAAATTTAAAGCAAACATTTTGTGCTCCGAACCCTCCGGGAAGACTAATTTCCATTGGGGGAGCCAAAGCCCCCAAAATGCACAAACAAACCCCCGACATTTAAAGGAAGGCTACAGGAATAATGGAAAGACCGCCGGCCTGCGAGGACAAGAAGCACAGAGATTTTGAATTGCTTATGTAATGATACGACGTGCTCTAGGATTTTTTGGAATTGGAGACTGCAGCAGAAAACTGCGATTCCTTACTACTTCTCATCTAGGATCATTGCCCAAATCATTCGCTCCTGACCTACCCCTTACGGGGCCGGAATTCAGGCCAGAATTTGGGATTCATAGAACCCCTAAATAATGGCGCCCACCATAAAGCATAAGCCTTCCAAAAAGAAGAGCGGAAAAGGACACAAGAGGACAGCCCCTTTCCGCGCACCTCCCCCCCCCCCCCCCCCCCCCCCCCCGAGAATAAAGGCAGGGTGTCTTTTATTTCCTGGGCTGGGATGGAGGAGGGCACTAACCAAAAGCAAGGATTACGTCCTATGTAGGGACTTTGGGGCCCAAGTATAGAATAAAGAGGTGCATGGACCCTTAGGGTAAGGTCCACGACCACGCGAAACCACCCCATAACACCCGAAAATGCTAAACCATACCCCCGCCCGCTCAAAACACGTCCCAAGCGGTTGAATGAAAGGTTTAGGGTTAGTTTTTAGTTTTTCGGGTTTAGGGTTTAGGGTACCTAAACCCTAAACAGGCATCCCGACCAGGGCAAAGCGGCTGAAGGTACTCCTTGGCAATGTCCCAGCGCTGCGTCAGCAACGTGTTGTTCGCGTAGACGGCCGTGAAAAAGGTGGCCGGGATGTCCGACAGCCAATATATGGTGCACCTCAGTAGAACCCTGAACCTTACCGAGAAGAAGCCTCCAATTTTTCAATCACCAGACCCCTAACCGTAAACCTCAAAACCCAAAACCCAAAACCCAATACCTCGGAGTTTAGTGTCCAAGGAATCCCTGCCCAACAACAACCCTAAACCCTCAAATGCACTGTCCAGAAAGCCAACACAAGAGGTTTAGGGTTTAGGGTTTAGGGCCGTTTGGGGTTTAGGGTAGTTTAGGGTTTAGGGTTTAGGGTTTAGGGCAAAAAAAACAGGCAAACATGAGGATTCCACCAACAGGGTTGTCCAGAATCCCCCTTTAGAAGGATTCTTGTAGCCCCCTCGAATTCGCTTTATCCTGGCCCTGAGGGTTTCGTGTTCAGAGTTTAGTGGCCCTCATACACCCAGTAGGACCCTTATGCTTATGGCCCCTATTCAGGCTGTTGGTTCCGGCTGCCTGGGAAATGTTGATAGTTCACGCTTCTGGTATGCTTTTGAAAGCTTTGCCTGCCCGAAACCCTAACCCCTGAAGCAATACCGCCAGTCGAAGCAGCTAGGCCACATTATCTGCAGGACGCGCATCGACTCTTGCGTGGACTTCTCCTGGGGGTGCGAAGTCAAGGTTTAGGGTTTAGGGTTTAGGGTTTAGGGTTTAGGGTTTAGGGTTTAGGGTTTAGGGTTTAGGGTTTAGGGTTTAGGGTTTAGGGTTTAGGGTTTTGGGGCGCGGGGGCAGAGTTTGGCGTTCTTGGGGATTAAGAAGCTTGGCCCGAAACGGTTTAAGGCCCAGGGGGCCCATGGGGGTGCTGGGACAAGTAAGAGCCGAAGCAAGAGACCAGCTACTTTTGCTTGCAGTTGCTCCTATTTGCTTAAGAACCACCCCAAAACACAAAATGATTGTCCTTATATTGCCTAGGCTGCCCAGTAACCTAGGCTTAAAAAGGGTGCCCTTTTTTGCTTAAAGGGGATTATAAGGGAACCTAAACCCCCCAAAAAGGGAATAAGGGTATCCTAGTTGCCCTTGTTAGAAAGAATATTGAATTTTACTCTTTTTTTGTTGGGGGCAGGGGTGGTTCCTAAGCAAGTACAGTAGTAGGCTCCCGTGAAGTCGGGTCAATACCTTGCCAGCGAGCTGCAAAGTGAAACACAGAGGCGGGCACCATGAAAAGGTCGTAGGTCAGAACGGCCATAGCCAGAACCTCCAGCAAAAGCTTCCGTATTATGAACATGCGTCTGCATTGCTGAAATGTCTACGTGCATGCGCGTATATGGCCACTTCTCTAAACTAGGGACCCTTTTGGGAGTATTATAAGACGGCCCCTCATACTTAAGGTAGCCAAAAGGGGGACCATCATTTTGAGAGATGACCATATGCATATGTGCATTAAAAATCGCTACCAATTAACCTCAGAGCCCTAAACCCAAAACCCTAAACCCTAAACCCTACACCCTACACCCTAACCCCTAAACCCTAACTAAACCCTAAACCCTAAACACCCTCCTGGGCCACTTGACGACATTTTTGTTGACACTGAGCAGCACAAAAAATAATTTGCAGTTTTCCGCTTGTTGCTGTGTTTGTTTCTGGGCAGCTATGTGTTGCAGATTGCTTGGGATTGATCAGCGGCAGAGCAACTAGGTTGCCCAGTAACCTAGGAATAAAAAGGGTGCCCATTTTTTGCTCAAAAGGGGTTTATAAGGGAACCTAAACCCCCAAAAAGGGGAATAAGGGTACTACTGGGCATCCTAGACAACCCAGTTCATGACAAGCCTGCCTTCCCAAGCTGGGCTCAATGCCGGTGCCAAAAACGACGTGCATGTTGCATTTCATTTTGCCAGGTGTCTAAGTTTAGGGTTTAGGGTTTTAGGGTTTAGGGTTTAGGGTTTGGGGTTTGGGGTTTGGGGTTTGGGGTTTGGGGTTTGGGGTTTAGGGTTTAGGGTTTAGGGTTTAGGGGTTTAGGGTTTAGGGTTTAGGGTTTAGGGTTTAGGGTTTAGGGTTTAGGGTTTAGGGTTTAGGGTTTAGGGTTTAGGGTTTAGGGTTTAGGTTTAAGGGTTTAGGGTTTAGGGTTTAGGGTTTAGGGTTTAGGGTTTAGGGTTTAGGGTTTAGGGTTTGGGGTTTGGGGTTTAGGGTTTAGGGTTTAGGGTTTAGGGTTTAGGGTTTAGGGTTTAGGGTGCCATGCAGGCCTAGGGTGCGGCGATTCACGACCTTGCCGATTTGACTCCAGCCTTGCTGTTTGGGTGCCTGTTGTTTAGGATGTCCCCCCTTCTACTACCAGTCCTTAACAGTGACTATAGGGGTTTAGGGGTTAGGGTTTAGGGACAGTACCCCTTGTATAATTGCCCCTTTCAACTAACAGTCCTTAGTGGGGAGAATAGTACCTCAACTATAATCCCTAGCAAGGACTGTTACTGTAGTATATGGGGGAACATCCCAATTCAGTCTGTGCCAAAGTGCATCCCAGCACATACGCGCACGCGAGGACGGTCGCATGATGCAGTTGTGACCTCAGGCATTTCAGGGTTTAGGGCTGAGGGTTGAGGGTTTAGGGTTTAGAGTGTAGGGTTTAAGGCCATGACTGTCCTGGGTTTTGGGGTTTGGGTTTGGGTGACTAAAGGAGGAGAGCCCGTACCATGTCTTGGGGCTACCTTGGCATACTGGAAGGTACCCCTACAAGGCAGAAGTTACACAGAGTCGAGGGTCCCTACTAGGTCGCCCAACGTGGGTTTACCGGCCCAGGAGGCTACTTGACTTGGGGTTCCATGAGGCTTCTGACCCAGCCTCCCTTCTGCAAGGCTCAAGCCCCTAGTGCCGTCACAAGCGCGGACCTTTACAGTACCCCAGGAACAAGGGCACCCATTTTTTCGTTGGTTACTTTACAAGGGAAGACAGCAACCCCCCACCCCCCACCCCCCCCCCCCCCCCCCCCCCCCAAAAAAAAAAAAAAACAGTAAAGGTCTTTTTTGTGGCCGCTTCGAGAGGCAAAGTGTGTGTGTGGTGTCAGAACACAAAAAGCGAGTATGGTAGCCCCACGTTTCGGATTGTGTGAGATAAAGGGGTTTAAGGTTAGGGCTTGGGGTTCGTGTTTAGGTTTAGGCTTTAGGCTTCAGGGTTCAGGCGGTTCAGGGTTCAGGGGTTTAGGGTTTAGGGTTAGGGTTTAGGGTTTAGGATTTATGGTGCAACCAGAATGACCACGATGCGTTACTCAGAGTGCCAAGCCTTTTGACACGAGCCGCATGCAACCAGGCAGACAAACCTTGTTGCAAAAGCCAGCGCGCGACATGCTCCAGTAGACTCAGCTCTCCGCGAGCAAAAAAAAAAGACCCGGCAACCGGCCCCACATTTCCCAAACGCCAAATACATGGAGGTCTGGAAGTAGGGGGGGTTTAGGGTTTAGGGTTTAGGGTCTAGGGTTTAGGGTTAGGGTTTAGGGTTTAGGGTTTAGGGTTTAGGGTTTAGGGTTTAGGGTTTAGGGTTTAGGGTTTAGGGTTTAGGGTTTAGGGCGTGGGAGCGCGCTTTGGGAGCGCGCGGTAGTATGCGCGCCTACCCACCCCAAGACCGACCGCCCACTTACAACTCTCAAGGAGTTAAGACCTTTTATTTTTTTTACAAAGCATCACATGAGTCAGCACTCACGCCCTTTTTGGGGATTTCCACAAGGTGCGTGCGGAAACGAGGCAGGGTCCGTGAAGACAGCTTGGGTTGGCGCGAAGGGGCTATGAAGGGATGGGCTAGGAACAGACAAAGGCAGCGAGGCTTGGTTGGCGCGAAGGGGCTCCAGCCAGGAAGAACACACAGTGAACTGCTTGGGTCGGGCAGAGGGCCACGGAAACAGGGCTGGTGTGGCGGATAGCTCGGCTTGGCGCGAAGGGGGTAAGGTGGGGTGCCGGGTCAGGGTCAGGACCAGGCACAAATTTGCAGCAAACGGAAGCGAGGCAGGACAGATTGGGTTGGTGCGAAGGGGCGAAAGCCAGGGAGAGCGCCCCGAAACAGGACACCAACTGGTGTGCGGACAGCTTGGCTTGGCGCAAGGGGGTAATATGACTCGAACAGGCCAGAGGACAGGGCAGAGCCACGGCCAGGGCGCAAAACTAGTCAGGGCCAGGGCCAGGGCCAGGGGGCCAGGGCCAGGGCCAGGGCCAGGGCCAGGGCCAGGGCCAGGGCCAGGGCCAGGGCCAGGGCCAGGGCCAGGGCCAGGGCCAGGGCCAGGGCCAGGGCCAGGGCCAGGGCCAGGGCCAGGGCCCAGGTCAGGCCACAAGCGACGGAAACAAGGCAGGGTCCGTGAAAACCCAAGGGACGGGCCAGGAACAGAGAAAGGCAGCGAGGCTTGGTTGGCGCGAAGGGGCTCCAGCCAGGAAGAACACACAGTGAACAGCTTGGGTTGGGCAGAGCGCCACGGAAACAGGGCTGGTGTGGCGGATAGCTTGGCTTGGCGTGAAGGGGGTGCTAAAGCCAGAGAGGGAGAGCGCCGAAACAAGACACAAATTGGTGCGCGGACAGCTTGGCTTGGCGCAAGGGGGTAAGATGACTCGAACAGGCCAGAGCCAGGGCCAGGACCAGAGCACCGGTGCGCGGACAGCTTGGCTTGGCGCAAGGGGGTAAGATGACTCGAACAGGCCAGGGCCAGGGCCAGGGTGAGGGCCAGGGCCAGGCCAGGGCCAGGGCCAGGGCCAGGGCCAGGGCCAGGGCCAGGGCCAGAACCAGGGTGAGGGCAGGGGGCCCTCACCAGAATAGAAGGGCAGGTCAGGGCCAGCCAGGGTCAGGGCAGGGCCAGGACCAGAGCCAGGGCCAGGGCCAGGGCCAGGGCCAGGCCAGGGCCAGGGCCAGGGCCAGGGCCAGGGCCAGGGCCAGGGCCAGGGCCAGCCAAAGCCAGGGCCAGGGCCAGGGGCCAGGGCCAGGGCCAGGGCCAGGGCCAGGGCCAGGGCCAGGGCCAGGGCCAGGGCCAGGGCCAGGGCCAGGCCAGGGCCAGGGCAAAAGAGAGTTTTTGGGCTCTGGCCCTGCCTGCCCCAACAAAACGGCCCCTGGTCCCCTCAGCCCAGCGGACGGGGGTTGGGGACCCAGGGGTCTCCAGGGGCCTTCCCAGGGGGCCTCCCATGCAGGAGCCAAGAATGTGCGCGGACAGCTTGGGGTTTAGGGCAATATAATATAATACAGTGACTACTGCTGTCTCGGCCTGTGCCTGCCTGGAGGGTAAGCCTGCCTGGAGGCCAGCTCGGTCGCCCGCCTGGGGCTCCCTCGCAGGGTCTCACTGAGCGCTCGACCAGCGCCCGCCTACCCCAAAAGACAAGAGAGTGGGGTGGCGGGCGGGTTTAGGGTTTAGGGTTTAGGGTTTAGGGTTTAGGGTTTAGGGTTTAGGGTTTAGGGTTTAGGATTTTGGGGGCACCCTACTAACCCTAAACCCCTAAATCTTTGCTGACCAGCAGCGGTCTTTCTCAACGGCCTGGCAAAGTTCGGGGTCTTCGGCTTTTGGGCTTTTGCGGTTCAGGGATGGATGAGGGCTTAGGGTTTGCAGGGTGTTGGGGTGTTGGGGTTTTGGGGTTTAGAGTTTAGGGTTTGGGGTTTAGGGTTTGGGGTTTAGGGCTTAGGGTTTGTAGGGTGTGTAGGGTGTGTAGGGTGTGTAGGGTGTGTAGGGTGTGTAGGGTTTGTAGGGTTTGTAGGGTTTGTAGGGTTTGTAGGGTTGGTAGGGTGTGTTGTGATTTGTAGAGTTTGAAGGGTGTGTGTGTGTGGTTTAGGCTTTAGGGCTTGCAGAGTTTGGTAGGGTTTAAGGTAGAGGGTTTTTAGGGTTTCTAGGGTTTCTAGGGTAGGCGTTTCGGCTTAGATTGTGTCTTTCCGTAGCCTCTGCTCGTAGCAGCGCCTGCGGATCTGCAACAGCCAGACCCCAGGCAGGCCTTAGTCCTGCCGCCATCTATCGGGCTTGGGTCCGGTACTTCTGATCTGCGCGGCTGGCCCGCGTCGATCCTCAGGGTCGCGGGGCCCTGAATTGCTGGCATTGGTCCTGGATCATTTGCTGGCTGGTGGTTTGGGCACTGGATCCGCCACCGGGATTTTTCATCCCCTCCCTAGTGGGTTACGCTGCCTTTTTGGGCCGTCACCCTGATATCTCTGCGCCTCCCTGGTTATTCGCTGCCTTTCCTGGGCCGACTGATCTGGGACGCGCAGCACATGAGAGGACAGCGAGTCCTCATCAAGCTCTTTGCACTGGCTTGTTTGCTTCCTCTTACTTGGACAAACCTCCAGAATTACAACGGTGCCTCGCAGGGCACGCTCTCCCCCGTGGCATCGTCGGCTGCGGAGGAAGCGCCAAGTGGCGCGGAACCGGCTGAAAACCGGTCGCGGCAGACCAGACGATCGACTCCGTCTTCTACGGCATCACGGATCCATGCCGCCTCAGAGCCGGAAGGAGACTGGATCGAAGGGCCAGCCGAAGGGTGCTGGGAAAACCAAAGCTGCGGCGCCCTTGCTGTCAGCTGTGCGGTTCGTGCCACCTGCGAGTGTGGTTTCGGCCCTCCAAGCACGTGCTGGCAGGGCTCAAAATGCTGTGCTAGCTGCCGAAGAACAACATGCTGGCAAGCGTACCTTGGCACAGGAAGCCAACTGGCTGGCGACGCAAGTTGCCAAAACTACCAAGAGACTGGAAGCAGACCTTCGTGCGAAGCAGGACTTGGGCGAAGCGGCTCTCCAATGGCACTCCCAGCTCGCAGAGCACCTATCCACCAATTATGCGGAGGTGGAGCGCTTGGCGGGACAATTGGATGCGGATGTCAAAGAAGCCCTGGAGATACTAACGCCTTTGGTCTCCACTACGACCTCGGATGCCACCCAGGTTCTGCTGCACAAAGGTGCACAGAATGCAGGGCCTATCTGGCCACCCCAAGTGACTGGCTTGCTCGAGATGGCGGCCAACGCTCTTCGGGCTGTAGCTGCACTGGATCCACTGGGACACAACCGCGCTCCGGCAGTTGGCGGTGGGGTGCCTTCAGTCCCGACTCAGACGCAGGGGATTGGTGGCCACCATGCCAGACGACAACCACCAGGTCTCGACGGGGGCATTTTCCCTGGCGCTATGCTGACCTCGGGTTCCCCAACGATGGTAACAGAAAGCCACAGAGCCCAGCCTCCTCCTGTCTCTGGGAACCGTTGGACAAAACGCTCGCAGCCCTTGCTCGAGGAGGACAAACGGCCGGTGAAGAGTCCCAGGCTGACATCTATGGGCACAGGGACGCGAGGCCAGACCGACACAGCCATGGCAAGCACGCAAGATCACGGGCCACTGGCTGGAACGCCGGAGGCTGTGCCATGGCCGCAGGAAAGCACCGGCAGAACCCCCACCCGTCCCTCACGCCCAACCTCGTCCTGGATGGCACCTGCCCATTCTGCACCGGTGGAGCTGGATGGATCCGATGGTTTCAGCGAGCCAATGTCCTTTCTTGGGGGAGAGGAGATGGAAGCCCCCCTTTCAGCGGTCGAGGAAGACTGGCAGCAATGGCAACTGAGTTGGATCACGGCATGGAATACGTCGGTGGGGCAACTTATGGACATGTGTGGAGCTGCTGCCACTGCGGCTCAAAGCAATCCGGTGTTGCAGGAGGTGCTTCCCGAGCCACCGCACATGGACACCGAAGAGGTCCGCAACCAATGTCAGAGCACGCTGCGGAGCTTGCAGCAACACCCCTGGGCATGCGGACCAGAGATTGCGACTGTGGTAGAGGACCTGATGCGCTGCTACTCGTGCCTAAAAAGCTGCCCAGCCGCTGTTCCGGACTGTCCCCAAGCTGTGCTCCTCCTAGGCCACATTCTTCATGCTGCGGTTCAGGACGTCATGTCATACACGCCACAATGCACAGAAGAATGGTTGTTCCCACAGCTGGTTCTCGGGAAGCACCCCGACTTAGCGGCACGCCTGGGTGCCAGCACCCCAGCCCTTCCGCATCACGCCCTGCTGCAAACGTGCGCCTGTCCCTTCTCGCCTGCATAGTGTGCATTCTTGCGGGTACTACCTCAACAGCCAGAGGCCTTGGACCACCCTCAGGACGAGGCACCTTCGTTAGTGTCAGAACTCTCTGGTTTATAGGACATTGCCTCGGTTGCGGAGGTTGCATTGCCGTTCAAGGCACGGAATTTCTCTTGGCGGCACTGTCTGCTGGAGTCCTCTTGGGTTGCGTGTGGACTACCCTTGCCGATCCACCCCATTTCAAGCCCCTTGGTCAGATGGCATACGACTTGCCCAGTGAGCACCAGGTCCTAGGTCTGCTTTTAGCTGCCATGGGATGTGGGCTGGCCCTTGCACCCTGCCTCTTGATGGTTGTGGTAGCCTGGCTCCCGATAGGAGTTTTCCTCCTAGGCCTCCTTTCACCTGCCCTGCCGCCCCAACATACACGGCGAGAGCCTTGGTGCAAGAATAAGAGAACGAGGGAGACTGCGGTAAAACAGATGAAGGGGTGCTTCTTTCTCTGTCTGCTGTTCTCACCGGTTGGAGCATCAGGTCTGCCTAAAATCCATAATCCTGAACACGTCAGACAGGAGGAGGGCGTTGTATCGATGCCCGACAACAATGAGACCGATGACTCTTTCATGATGCAGGTAGCGGGCCAGGCCCATTTCAACAGAATTCCGGCTTGGTCCCTCAGTCGAGTCCCACGCATTCGAATACGGCGTGAGCTGCACCCTTTGGAAGAGGTCGGTGCCCGGCCTCTAGCGATGCAGGAATTGTGCACGGCAACCTATACACGGAAGCTTGCCGTGTTCCATGGGGGAGTGGTTGAAGGCCCCGAGCCTATCCTCTTCAGAGTTGACAGCCGCCTTTTCCGACCCGCACTTGATGAAGCCATTGTGCAGGCCCTCGGCATCTCAGCAGATGCAGTCGACGTGTTGATGCTGGCCTCGCCGTTTGACTCTGTCACCCGCGAGCAGTATGTACTCCGGCCCCGCGCCTTCCCTTGGTATGCGCAAGCCGTTCCTGTCCTGGTGCGAGGCGAGCTTGACAGCTTCCATGTGCTACAAGCAGCAAGGGATGAACAGTGCCACGATCTCGTCGCAGCGGCAGCGCTGCTCACTCAGATGCAGTCCATCCCGGAAGCTGAGCAGTGTCAGTGCGTGGAGGGTACTTTTGTGGCCGATTCCCAACCTCTCTTGCAGCCACGCTGTGACGCGATTGTTTGGACGCCGATTGCGCTCAAACAGCGGCTGATTGAAGCCAGTGCCCACTCCCCTTATGCGGACATGCACAGCAATCAGGGCCCCCCCAGCCAGAACCTCCTGTCCTGCGTTATCATCACTGCTAATGGTATCATACATGCACTCACGCCGGCCTTTGCTCCTGATAGCGAGACCTTCCGCTTCCTGCGTGGCGAATTCCCTGAGCTCGCTTCCCTGACTATGCGCCGCATGCGGTATGCGCTTACTGACCTGCCGCCGACGCAGTTCCTAGCCTTCCGCCGTGAGGAACTCGGAAGGCATTCCTTGGTAGTTGACCTCCGTGCATTGGACCTTGGACTGCTTACTCTCACAGTACCCAGATACATATCGTGCAGCCAAATCCTCGACGTCACTGCGAGAGACCATGCTCGCATCCTGGACACGGCAGCCATGCATGAACATGTGATGTCTGGAGATTATATCTGTTTGCTCCATGATCAAGCCGTCGGGCCTGATGTCATGCTTGACGTGGCTGGCTTTGATCTGCTACGAGCTTATCGACACACACTAGTCGAGGTGCCCATTGGGAGTGACTCTGAAAATGCTGCCTCGCGGGGAGCCTCCTTGGCAAAAGCCCTACTCATTGCAGCAGCGCCGCTACGGGGACCTGTCGGCTCTATGTGCCTACTGCTTGTGGTAGGTGCCAGCCAAGCACTTGCAGGACGCGCTGCTAGTGCCCCACCACATCGCAGTGGACGGTTACAGCGGGTGCCAGCTCCCCCCTGCAACCTGCCCAACAAGGCCTCGCAGGCCACCCATGCGGCAATTCAGCGAGAGCTGCTGGCCTCTGGCAGGCTTCTCACGCCCGTTATCAGTCCTAGCCCCCTCGGCAATGACGACCCACGTGAAGTCACATTCAAGCTGTGGCACCCAGGGAGGGTCCTTACCCGGTGCTACCCGGCGCAATGGCCGTGGTTTGATGTGCACGCTGACCTCCTTGAGACTGTATCCGCCCTAGGCAGGTATGTCGTCCTGCCTGCTGCCGCGACACCGGACCATAGAGCTGTGCATATGGTCGCTATCTCCAGTGCAGACACGCATAGCACCATTCTGGTGGCACGGGCAGGATCGTGGAAATGCCTCGATGTTGACTGGCGCAATCCTGCAGCTGATATTCATGCATGGGTGGAAAGCTCGGATGGTACCCATTCCTACCGCATTGACTGTGCGCACCGGGGGCGCATGCGGCATGGCGATGTCTGCGTGGTTGTTGATACCTTTCAATCAGCTTCACCCACACTTCTGGATATTAGCACTCTCTCTCTGACGATGCCAGTAGGGTGCTCTTGGACGCGCACTATAGGCAGGCAGGTCTTTCCCTTGCTGCAAGCCGGCCAACCACATCTTTGGCTGCCACGCGTACAAGGCGTGACAGCACGTGACACTGCCATGGATATGCTGCACACTCTTCGGTCGCCAAACCCCGAAACTACCCATCTGCTCGATGTGCCGCCATATCTTTTAGGCCTTCCGGGTCCTATTCTTCTCGCGGCCCCTAGAGGTGGGATGTGCACCCTTGTCTGGTTGCATGACTGTCACGAATGTGTTCCACACGGTGTGGCATTCGCCGTGGAAGGGGTGTTCCCAAACCGCGCTGACCTTCTCTACGCGCTGCGTGAGCTACCGGGAGCCACGGCTACAATATGGCTCCGGGCAACGGAAATGTTTCTCCTTTGGGGGCCCTCCGAATCCTTGCACTCTGCCGATAATGAGGCTGTTGTAGCTGAGATTGTGACAGCTAGCGTTGACATGCGACTGCTGCTGTCGCATAGCCGCACAGACTCCCTCTCTTCTGCGCCACACATGGGAGCGCAGGGGATGGCATCCATGCCGGGTCCCCAGGAAGCCAGGAGTAGTCAGATTTCTTCCCTGGATTCCTCGCTCGCTGACCCATGCATCCCGACCCTGGGTATCCCCGACGAAGGCACCTTGCATGTTGTGTACTGTGGTTCGATCCAGACCAGCTGTGTGGTACCCTGTCCTAGCCGGAGGATGCCATGGGCTCTCATCATTGGAGATGAAATTAGGACGGCCTGTACTGATCAAACCTCCTGGGCTGAGGTAGCCACCGTAGCAGATCTCTCAGTCTTGGACTTGCAAGGGGTGGCCGTTGTCCTTGATGGGTTCCGCTGGATGTGGCCAGAACCCATTACTCATCTTGGGCACGCCTGCGGCACGCTTCTCCGGCGCACTCCGAACAAGGATTCCCGCTGCTATGTGGAGAGTGAGCACACTCTTCCGCCCTCACCGCTGCAAGCAAGGAGCTCATGCGGTGGCATGAGGCTTGCTAAGTGGGCTCAACTAGTTGCTTGGACTGCTAGTGCACCTTGCACCGGCCGTTGGCTACCTATTGCACTTCTTGTCAACGCTGCTATGGCCATGGTAGTGCCAGTCGACCCTACTGCTGCACGTCCGCCTCTCATGTGTGTCCCTCCTCCTGGGTTCCTCCTTTTCGTTGATGTGCTTAACTGCTTCCTCCAGCACCCACCGGCAGAGGGTACCCTCTTGCGGATATGGCGCCCCTGTAGGGGTCCGGCCGTTTACCAGTTCCGACAACAAGTTGACCTTGACAATCTGAGTACCTGGTTGCGTGAGCAGGGATGCCGGCCTACCCGTGATGTGTTCCACCTCGCGCATGACTCTGGCCCAGATGCCATTGACTTGCTTTGCACCCCGCCGGCCTCTGGAGCTTGGTGGATATTGCGAGATGGCAGTCACCGTGAGCTGCTCAGACCCGTCTGTCAGCTGCCGGACATCTCGGAACAATTGGTCACGATTGATGAAGGAGGTCAGGCACATCGTCTGATTTGCGGAGGTCAGGCCGACCTCCGGCCAGAGCTTCTCCCGGGTAAGCGGGCAGCGATTGGACGCAGCGTCCCTAACTGGTATGGCGCCTTAGCTGGCACTGGACTGATGATGTTTTCGACGTCTGCTTGCTGGCGCTTGGCGCCGGTCATGCTGGCCACTATCATAGTCGTGCAGCCTGTGAGCGGGCAGACTATTCCAGCCAGTCATCCCCGCAGAGTCTGGACCTTCGGACTGCCTGAGCCTGTGGACCTTCCGACGACAGCACGGACGGTCACAGATGCTCGTCTAGTTCTTGTTCGGGCCCATCTCCCTAGGCAGCTTGATAATGATGGGAAGCTTCTGGAAGTCTCCCCCCCCCTGATACAAGGGGTTCAGCACTGGCTATATGTGCCTAGGACTAGAGTGGGGACATACACTTACTTGCTCATGCAGTGGCATAGGCAGGCGGCAGTCTTCGAGAGTCGGTCTAACCCATTGGACTGGGATGCCCTGTTCCAGTGGGCCACATCTGTCTTCACCCTAGAACAGCCGCTTGCACAAAAGTTTGTCCTGGTCCTCGACAAACAGATTTTTCGTTTCGGCACCATCGTGAGTGGTCTCCGACACGGACAGCTTCTGGCAATTGGGGAGCATACACCATCGCGCAGCCCGATGCGCTACCTCAATCCCTGGGGTGAAGAAGAAGAACTGCCTGAGATTGTCCGCAGTGACTGGGGAGACACTCTCCTCACTGGGCCCGGTGGCCAGATTTCTCTGCGCCCGGAAGGACCGGCTTTCCTGACGGCCACGGCGGGACGAAGTGAGGCTACATCCCCGGCAGTCGCACACAGCTCTTGTCAAACTCCCCTCTCGCTGCCCCCTAATAACACCTCTCTTCTCGCTTGGGAGGCGGCTACCCACCAGCTTGGGGAAGTTCTACGACTGCTGCGACCGCGGACCCAGGGCTACGCATTCCACCCTCAATGTAGCGCAGAGAGCGGAGTGCCTGTCAGCACGACAACCCTGGGCATCTCTCCACAAGGCCCGGTCATCCTGCCAGACGGGGCTGAACATGGAAGCAGCGCTCGGTCGGAACCTCAGGCCTCTGCAGGGTATCGTACCCCGCTACTTCTCCTCTCATTGGTGCACCGGCGTGGCCTTTGGGTGATGCTTCTTCTCGGTAACCTCCTGACCTGTGGGGTAGAAGCGCCGCCGGCACCTGTCACCTGTCGGAGTAGAACAGGCTCTCGTTAGTGCTACAGGAGCATCGATTCCAGGGGGGGGGCATACCGAACACGCCCATTGCAATGTCACGCTACCGCTGTACGGCAATACCCTGTCATGGTCCGTGAGGGATGCCTCCCCAGAGCAGCACGGAGCCCTGCAGGCTCAGCTCAGTACTGTGTGGCAGGCTCGAGCTGGAGGCAGACGCGTCGAGGAATCACCCTCCTGGCAGAGGACTGCAGGGAAGTTCCTCATTCACTCCCCGGCTGTGCCAAGGCAGCCGCTAACAGGTCGGTTTCTGCTCACCGAAGATTGTCTTAATGAGCTATATGACATCTCCGAAATTTGGAGAAGACAAGCCCAGGTCGATGCTGTCATACCGCTGTCACCACAGCCCACCCGAAGCGCCATCCACCTGACTACCTGTGAGCCGGAGTCCGACCGAGCGTCTGTTGTGCTATGGTGGGATGGGATGTTGTGGCCAAGGAAGCTCCCCAGACAATGCCCCGCTGAATGGCTACGCAACTACTGCATCCTTGGTACGGTGGGCCTCATCCCGCCCCCTGTGGGCGTACAGGCTCAACCCACTGTGCCTTTCAGAGACGGAGACTGCGTCCCCTTTTGGGTCTGTCCACAGGCTCAGCTTGAAGACATTGAGATCTCCCTAGCTGGCTGTCCCCGGAGCCTAAGGCTTTCTTGGGTTCTCCAGCTACTTCTAGCTTGCCCACGAGGCTACCTCTGTGCCTTGTTCATTCTTGCGGTGGGGCTACCTGGCCCTGCCGGGGCGATGATGACCAGTCAAAACCTAGCTCCAGAACACGTCCCCCACATGTCTTGTTGGCGACACGGCAATACCAGGGACCTGGATAAAGCCCGCGGGGGCTTTCCGAATCACAGAGCACTCTCCATGGAAATTTTAAGGACGCAGGCGCCAAGCGCTGCCACACATCTGGTATGGCGACGCAACAGCCTGGCCATGTGCCTACGCATGTGTTCATGCACCCCGCCTGCTGTGGCGGAGATGGCCCTTCTGGCCGGGCTGCCTTCTTCTTGCCATAGCTCTGTTGTGTTGGATGGCGCGCCACCTGACATTGAAGCTGTCCATTGGAAATTAGTCCCAGAAACTGATGCCTCACCTTCACGGCACTTGGGCCGGTGGCTGTTCAGCATCGCCTTGGGGGTCTCATCGGGTTGGAGGGTCTCCCTCCTTTCAAGTGTGATCGTTATGCACTTAACCCCTACACTAGTCAGGCCCATGACGCTTCGCCAGGCCGCGGAACCTGTTCGGGTAGGGGCATTTCCATGGCATGTGGCCATCCCTGCGCGGACGGTTAGCAGTCTCTCTGAGACGGGGCCCATCCTGGTGCACCTGCTCAGCCCCTTTCGGGGCATGGGGGACACGCACGAAATTAGCCGAAGCTGCGACTGGTCATGGCTAGTGCGCCTCTTATATGCTGAGGAACCTAGATGGGGGCACCAACTAGTGCCAGTTTGGCCCAACACTGTCGCCAACACCTTGACCCTCGTCCCGGTTCCACCGGACAACTCCTTGGTTTGTGTGGTTGTGGTGGCGTCAACATGGAGGCTGAGCCTGTGCATCCCGCAAGTTGCTCGGCTGGAGTGGGTGCAGGAAGCTATAAGTCACCGAGCACCGCAGGCCTTTGGGCAGCTCTTTCCACCCCCGCCTCTCGAGGCGCTGCTTGAGCCAATGCCATCCTCTGAACTAGAGAGCGAGGTGCAGGCTACACTCCACATGCGTAGCGGTGACGTTTTCTACGCCTCTCTCCTGGGACAAGCAGGCTCCGCCCGAAGAGGGGGGGAGGTCACGGTGGAATCCCTCGCCTCCCTCAGACATGACACTCTTTGGCAACGGTTCTTAGTCATACCCTTCACCTTTGAATGCACCATATGGCAGCCCGGAAACAGTCCGAGTGTCATCGAGGTCCCAGCTGGGTCGAGATGGTTGCCGCACTCCCAGACCTTCGACAGTTTCCCGGAGTTGGGGGCTAGAGGCCAATGGGTCATCGCTCCTTGGGCATGGGGTCAAGGCATACATCTGTGCCTGCGCTGCCGTGACGCCTTCCATGCACACATACTGATACACTGCGCTAGCAACAATCTGTGCGTCCGGACCCCTACCTGTGCGGATCGTGCGTACGTACAACACATCTTCACTGGGGCGGGAGGCCGTGGCGCTTGGACCGTCGCTGGCAGCTCCCCCCACCCCGCAACACAACTTACTGACCCGGTTCATCTTAGGGATGGAGATGTCCTGCGAGAGGGTTGTGCCGTAAGGGCACTGCCCTCGGCCCGCTCCAGTGGACGTCGCAGCCTAACCCTAAGCATAGGGCTGTACCTTCTAATCTCAGGAGGGTGGGGACATTGGCCAGTTGGGCAGGGCCAGGAAATAGTGCTTCTCTTGCCCCTTCTATGGGTTTCCCCAGCCATGGAACTTGAATGTAGCTCTAGCTCCAGTGAGTCAGGACAGCCTCCCGCCAGGCGGTCAAGGTCGCCCTCCAGGAGCGGTGCCTACCAACCACTGAAGCCACGGGTCGTTGAGGTCGGCTTGGTCCATCACCCAACCTCGCCTAGATGGCGTCCTGCCGAACACACGGTCAACTTGGGCGGCTTTCCATGGATCCAAACACTGTGCCCCGTTATGGGGGCGGCGGCTCCTTTGCGGCAGGACATCTACCAACTGGTGCGAGCCACCATGCAGGACTGGCCGGAACCTCTTGTCCCTGTCTGGCCAGCACTGAGCATGGGAGCTCTACATCTCGTACCCTGCCCCCCGCCCCCCCTTCTGTGCGTTGCGGTTGTCAAAGGCGGAGAGGTGCAAGCGCGATTACTGTTGCGGGATATGCCATGCCGACTAGTTCCTGACGCCCTCGGGATCGGTACGGACTATGCAGGGCCCCTCACAGCCGCGCCTTCCTTTCTTTCTTCTTCCAACACCCGTCTCCGACATGGAGACCTCATTTGTGCGAGGCCAATGGCTAACTATCGGGTCCCTCCGGCCATGCCCATACATCTAACGCCATCCCAGGCCCGCCACCACGCTCTCTGGCAGCTCCCATTTGTCATTTCGCAAACTGGGCGAGTCACCATGTGGCGCCCAGGAGCACCGGCGCGCACCGTGGACACACCTGTTGGGTTCACGTGGAAGCCTGCTGCCTGTTGCTTCGCGGGCGACTGGGTAGGACAAGGGGAGCAATGGGCACCTGTGCCATGGATCCCCGCACCTGGGCTTCATCTGTGTTTACGTAGCCCGAGCCATCTCTATGCTCATGTTATCTTCTGGGGTGCTAGCCCAATCTGCCAGAGGGTTTCAGTCCGGGCCATGGACACCCTCGACAACTCCCATCTGGTGCGCGGGGTCGCAGGGTTGGCTCCGTCTGAAATCTCACTCCGGGATGGCGATATCATCGAGCCCTCCGTTCCGTACGCGGGGCAGTCGACTACGGAGTTGCAAGCCCGACCTTTCTGGCTGACTCTGCTTCTTGGTAGGTGGGTTTTATGCCGTGCTACTGGTGCGCCTTCCGGGTGGATCGGCATTGCTGCTGTCCTCTACGTCCTCACGCAATGCCAAGCTGGGGGTGTGCCCCATGGCAAGCTTCAGATCACTGTCCCTTCCGAAGCACAGTGGAGAGGGCAAGGCTACAGGGCTAACCTCTCGGCTGCGGGCCTTGTAGGACCGCTAAGCCGATGCCAAAGTTCCACCCCATACGCCTATTGGGATGCCAGGCAGATTTTCACGCAATGCTGGAGCTGTTACCTCTGCCCTCGCGGAGCACCGGAACTGGTTTGGCGCCAGAGCGAAGATCGGATCTGGGAGGCGGACCTTACACCCGTCGGGCAACTACAGGAGTTCCTTTATGAATACTGGATGGCTGAGGACCTGCCACTGGACCTCCCTAGTGCGGTCCGCCCTCACCTGCGGGCTGCGTGGGATGCATACCCGAAATGGACCCATGGTGTCCCGGATCAGCTCCTTCTGGCCACGGATGGGTCGGGGGCCGGTTCTGGGGCCTGGGCTTTCACCGCGTGGGCCGCTTTCCGTGGTTCCTGGTTCAGAGTCGGCTGGGAACATGGCAAGTTGCACGCAGCTGGGCCCCCATCTGAGTTGCTGAGCTTATGGCACTTCAAACAGCAGCTCTTTGGGCATCCGTATGGGTGGATGCCAACCGGGCTGCTTGGGGAGGTGTGCCCTCGCGGGTTGTGGCTGCAGTCGACAACCAGGCCGCCCTCATGGTGGCTGCAGGCCATGCAACTGCCTCCTCCGTATGGGCAAAAGATGCCAGAGTGGCCTGGCAGGCCCTTCAATCACGGGTTAGCACCGACCTCGTACATGTGCCAGGTCACGCGGGGTATATCGTCAATGAGCTGGCTGATAGCTTGGCTGGCCTAGCCGCGGCTGGTGGACCTAGTGGACCGGATAGGGGCAGAGAGCCCCCCCAGTTTTCGGATCACTGGGTGAAACACGCCCAGCACCTGTGGCTTGTGCCATATGGGACACTACTTACCAACACTTGCCTCGTTCTTCGTGTCGTGGTTGCGCCTGACCCGCCGCCCAACTCGGGCATCCCAGACACACCAGGCGAGCCGGATGTAAGTGAGACGGGGTCCCCCTCGCCGGTTACAATCTTCTCCCGCGTCATTCAGGCGAATGTCCAAACCTTGAAGGATGTCGTCCCGCATTTCTTCAATAAAGCCGGCACAGGACAACGACGGGCCTACTTGGTCAAGCAGTTAGACCATCTGAAGGTCGACGTCGCCACTCTCCAAGAATGCCGCTCTCGTGCAGGGAGGTGGATGTCCGGCAACTTCCTCACGTGGCGCTCCGGCGCGGACAAGGCCGGCCAATACGGCTGTGAAATCTGGGTTAGGGACAGCTGGGTGCCCGGCTGCTCAACTCTTGATGCTTGGACGATAGTGCACTCTGCCCCCCGCCTGCTGATCATCCAATCAATGCGGTTACCTGTGCCTATCTGCATTCTGTCGGCACATGCGCCACATGCAGATCGCCCCCG